TTATAATATTTTTATTGTAAATTATATTAATTGTTATGACAATTTTTTATTTATTCTAGAAATCGTTATTCTAGAGGAATGCATCTTTAAGATTTATTGATAACTACTTAATATTAAGTTTCAATAGATCTTAAAGAATTATGTAAATATTTTTTGAATATAAGTTATTAATATAGTTTACAATAATTTGGTAGATGTCGCTGATAATAATATGTCTATTGAAATTGTAACTGAGGATTTTTGGGAAGGTACTAATTGTCAAATGCCTACTGAATCTGTAAATCGTACAAGATCTTTTGATTTAGATGTTGAATTAAATACAGGTAAGATACATAAATTATGCTTAATAAAATGAATAAATAATAAAATATGTATATTATCCATAATACATTTTGACATGGAGTGGCATAGTGGCATACAAATTGCATTGTACCTAATAATAATACCTATCTAATGGTATAACTAATACTGGGGTGTACAAATTATTTAACATCTAATAAATCAATATTGAAGTAATGGTCCCTTAAATATGATTTAATGGACCTTGTTTAATCCATTAAATTAATAACTTTAGCATAATAATACTTTTGATGGTGTTTTTAAAAAAATGTATTACATAGGTTAGGTTAGATTTATCTATTACATTTTATAATTTATTAAATCTCAATATTTTTTAACATATAGATTACACTTATGAAGATGAAGCTGAAATGTCTATTGAGATTATTACTAATGACTTTGATGAAGGTACTATTTCACAAATGCCTATTGATTCTGGAATTAACACAGGTAAATTAATAGATTACTTACAAAAATAGATTAATTTTATAATAAAGTTAATTATTGTTTTTATAAAATTGTATAACACTTTTTTCAGCTGGTTCCACACATTGTTTACTTCCAAAACGATTATTTGAAGGCACATTAAAAAATATAAATTTTCATCGAAAAACAGATTTGACACCTAGAAAAAGTTTATTGTATAATGTGACCAAGAGATATAAGCAAAGAAATTTAGTGTTAAGTCAACGTTATGCTAGTGCTAAGAAACGTATTCAAAAAGCTGAAAAATATATGAATAGTAATTCCAAGCAACTTAACAGACTGAATTAATTTTCGTTGAATTTTATTGAATCACAAATGCGTATGCAACCACAAAAACCTCGAGGTAGGCGTTTCACTGTAGACGACAAAGTATTTGCATTATCATTATATAAGCAGAGTGGTAAAGCTTATAAAATGCTTTCTAAAGTATTTGCTCTTCCATCTCGCAAGTGTATCATGGACATGTTGAAGAAAATACCATTTCAAACTGGAATTAACCAAAGAATTTTTGAAAATTTAAAGAATGCAGTTAAAAAAATTAGAAATAAGTTAGACCATTATTGCACAGTAATTTTTGATGAAATCGCACTATCAGCATCATTACAATATATGGCACAAGAAGGATATAGTTGGATTTGAAGATTTGGGTGAAAATAATATGTCTAATAATTTTGCCGATAAAGCATTGGTATTTATGGTTAGAGGATGCAGAAAGAAATTTAAACAACCAGTTGCTTTTTACCTTACTAGTAGTGGAATGACAAGCATTCTATTATCAGAAATTATTAAAAATGTTATTGAGGCAGTGCAATCAACTGGGCTCACGGTTATTTCAACAATTTGTGACCAAGCACCCATAAATGTAGCTGCTATTAATATATTACAAAAAAACACTAATAAAATTTATAAAAATAATGGTCAAGATTATACAGGATTTGGTTTTGAAATAGGAGGCCATGACATAGTTCCTTTATATGATGTGCCTCATTTGCTTAAAGGTCTGAGGAATAATTTAGTCTCTAAAGATTTAAATTTTGAATATGAGGGGAAAAACCATACAGCTTCTTGGAAACATATAATCCAATTTTATGAACTCGACAAACGTCAAAGTACAGAAGGAGATCGGTTAACACCCAAACTCACTGATTGTCATGTGTATCCAGCTACACTGAAAAAAATGAAAGTGGCTAATGCAGCTCAAGTTTTTAGTCAACGCGTTGGAGCAATTATGAAACGATTTGCTGAGATGAATAAAGGTTTATAGTATAATCCATCATGTGTTATTGTAGAATTAATAACAAATTATATCTTCTAATAAATTTTTGTATTTCCACAGAAATTCCAGTAATAATAGGCCTTGATGCTTCAGCACAAAGTACAGGACAATTGTGTTTATTTATGGATAAGTTATTTGATAGAGCAAACGGTAACTCCATTAAACCAGAACTTGGAAAAAATTTAAGATGTGCAGTTACAAGAAATTCGTCTCATTGGGATTTTTGGCAAAAAGCATTAATTACTCTCAATTCAATGAAGTACATAAATACAAACAAAGCAATTGTTCCTTCAATTACTAATTGGATAAAGACAGTAAAGGGAATTATGCACATTTGTAAACGACTTCTTGATTGTGGCTTTGCATTTGTATTGTTGCGAAATTTTAATCAAGATCCGATTGAAAACTTTTTTGGTTCTATTTGTAGTCATGGAGTCAGGAATATAAAACCAACACCGGCTATGTTTATGTCATCATTTAAAGCATTGTCAATAAACAACTTCACGTCTAACCATTCGGTAGGATCAAACTGTGAAAATGATGATTGTGATGGTGCTTTGGATAATTTAAAGAATTTCTTATTTGATGAAATACCCCTAGAAGAAACTATCATTCAGAGTCCAACGGAGAGCATGATTGAAATTGAAATTCCAAATGTTAAAATACCCAGTTCTAATTCTCAAGTGAATTCTGGAAGTAGAGCTTATGTTGCTGGATGGGTTATAAAAAAAATTAAAAAAATTACCAATAATTGTCGATTATGTGTATCCATGCTTTCATCTGACATTGTTTTAAATGAACATTTTATAATAAAAATACGAAATTATTCTCAATGTAAACTATTTCTCCCTGATAAAAATGTAATTAACTTATATAGCTATATAATACAATTTTTTAATTTAAATTTTCACCATTTTGCCTATAAAAAAAGGGGTTGTAACATTTTTAAAAATATTGTGAAACAAGTTATTTCCCTTCAAAATCTTGTTTGTGAAAATCATGATTTGTCTATTATTTTTATAAATACTGTGTGTAATCTTTTAATTTATTCATACATTAACCATATTAATCGCATATTAAGTAAAGGTGAACAACTAGTAACAGAAGATCTTATAAAATTGTCTGCAAATACTTATTTTATAAAATACTCAAAAAAAAAAATTGTATTGCAAAGACAAAATGTTAATTATGTATAATAACTTAATAAGTATGTAATAATTAATTATTGTAAGCTTTATAATAATATGTAATTATTAATTTTAAGAGTTGTGCACATACTGATACTGTATATTTTACTTAATTTATAACTATTTAAAATGTATATTTTGTAACATACTTTTTACAAAATAAATATAATTTTGTTTATTAATTTTACAATCGTTTAAATTAATCTATTTCCAATGAAAGTTTAAAAAAAGTAATATCATAATAGAATTGGATAACGATCGATTACTTATTATCGATTGCTAACTATCGATAGTAAAACTTTAGTTCGATTGAGGTAGTCATTACGACAACCGTTGTAGAGCGCTAGTAGCCATCCACTATCAAATATTTCTACAGCAGTTGCCCTTCTATCTAATCTCTTTTCTATGATTGTCATGGTCAAGATAGTCTTTATCTTGGGGAGTGTGGGTCAAGG